ACCCCTTTGTCTGGCTAAAGTGTGGGTGGCAACTTGCACTTTAACTTCCAAAGCACTTAGAATCAGTAGTAACTTAACCTTAAATCACTCAAAACATTTCAAAAGATCATGAAACAACACAAAAGATTAATCACAAATTAATATCTTTTAGTTTCAGCCTGGCCATGACAGAAACCATTTTAAGATACCAAACAATGATCAATAAGCAGTTTATTCTTTCAAAATGACCCGACGGACGTGTTTGGGACGAAAGAGGAAAACACGAAGCTACTTTTTAAGCAATAGACGCGGTTTATTGCTTATTTGAGACTATAGAGGAAACGGGAGAAGAAAAGGAGAGAAAAAAATGAGTTTCCTGATCACCAAAGCAGCAAGGCGTCCCCCGCTGTTATGACTTGACGGTTCTCCGTTTTTCTCCGCGGTTTCCGGCGTCATCCGTCGGTTTGATGCTTTCTCCGTTGTTTGGCGTTCACGAGTGTTTCTCCACGGGCTGGACAGAGACAGCAAAGTTTCTTTCTGTGCTGAGTTATAACTTACAGCGTTTCTGAGAGCTGGATGGAGTTGTTGTTTCCCTCCGCAGTTCTGTGTCCTCAAACATCAGCTGGAGGGGAGCAGAAACGAGCAGATCTGATGGGCTTGCAGTTTAGTTTCCAGCAGTTCCGTGGCTCAACTTGGCACTTAGAGCTTCCGCGTGCTCAAAGAAGTCGGAGCGTTCGACAAGCGTGTCCTCACCGCCAGGTATCCTGGGCAAAAGAACGAGGTTTCTTTGTCTCTGCTGAAGATTTATGGTCTTAGTTCGCGGGGAAAGCTCCACGGCTTCCCGCACATGCGCAGAACGTGTTTCTGGTACTAGGCGGTAACATCACCCAATGCTTCCGTGTGCAAAGCATCATGGGAAATGAAGTTTCTTGGCGCTGATGTGATTATTTGCTTTTCAGAGCAATTTAAGCACAGTCATTTTAGAGAAAATCACTGCATAGTAATTTCCTCATGAGGTCAGACCCTCAACATAATGAAGAAGAAAAAACATATATAAGTCGCGCTGGACTATAAGTCGCATTTTGGGGGAAAATTTTATTATTATTTTTTTTACAAAATCTGAGACCAAGCATTTCACATTGCAAGACAAGTACCGGTAACAATAACAGAATAAACAACCAGGACGCAGCAGCGCTACGGTCTCCAGCAGAGGATGGTGGTGTTTCAAGCCCTCCCAGCGGGACAGGGGGAGCTCATTCCTGGGTCGGAGCCGGCCCGCAGCAGCTCGCCACGATCTCCAGCAGGTGATGGCAGGGCAGAGGAGCTGAAACCTGGACCGCAGCCGGCCCACAGGAGCGCGGTTTACATGATTTGGTATATAAGTCGCAGGACCAGCCAGACTATGAAAAAAAGTGTGACTTACAGTCCGGAAAATACGGTAACCATATATTGATAAGCAATACATGGATGTAAAAATGTAGGAAAAGCTGAGGTGTCAGAAATATATTAGACAATATACCAGTGTAATAAATAGCGATATATGTAGTAATACATAAGGAATTGCTGCTTTACATATATTGACGAATATGTAGCGGTCACACTTTATAATGTGACGTCTGCAAATTAATCATGACCAATAACGTGATGATTCCATATAATTATGAAATATCAATCTGATTGATCTTTGAATGTTTAATCAGAAGATTATAATTACTTTTACTTGTTCAAGGACCATAAACACACTTCGTATTAATTCAGACAGAATCAGGTATATAGTTAAAAAGGAATTTTATCCTTTTCTAAACTAATGATTATACATGACAAGGTATAAATAATGAGATGTGATGGAGTGGATATGCGGTGATGGAGTGTGATGTGTAGGTGGTGCGATGTAAGCTAGATGTTTATCAGAATCTTTGTATCTGAAAGAAATTGTGAAATCTGGGTGTAAAATAATTTGTTGTTTGCTATAAACTAGAGAGTTGATTATTAGTAAAACAGCATCAGATGCAATCTGTTGTGTCTACAAACCCTGGCGGAGACCCCCAGCAGATCCGGACTGTTAGAAGTCGGGTGGACCTCACGGCACCTGGAGCCAGTAGATTAGCTCCAATACGACCCGTCCAGTCTTGAGATGTCTCCAGGTCACAACAGTAGCTGGAATGCTTGTTTGTGTCCAAAGTGGATGTGGCTCTAATGGAGCCGTCTGGCTGTGCCAGCTTGCATCGTGCAAACAGGGTTTTACTGTATGTCAAAAGAGATGCGTCAAGGATGCTTGTTCTGAATTGGCCGGTTCGGAACTCCGCTAGAAACTGAATTACTTGGGAAGTAATTCTTGTTTTATTAAACTACTTTGTTATGATTTCTGGCCAAATTTGGCCAATCAGAATTCGACAAGTTTCTGGGTATTTACCAACATCCCTCATAAAGCCACGTCCTCCTCGAGAGGCAACTACACGTTAAATAAATCAGGATTTTGGCCGTTCATACGAATGTTCTAAATTTCATGAGTAGGATGAAATATAGGAGAGCTTCTACGAATGTTTGATGAATGAGGGCTCAAGTCTGGTTCTGGTTCCAGTCCAGATCCTCTCAAGATCTGCAGCCATTTTCCTTTGGACTCTGGCAGATTTTTAGTCCCAGTACCAGAACGTTTTCAGCAAATTGGACACAGTGGACTCTGTGATTTCTAAACCTGAAATAAGTGGAATCAGATTATGTTTCTGGCTCAGAACAACTCTCTGTGTTTGTTTGTTTGTTTGTTGTTTCTAAACGTCTTTTAGTTACAGTTATAAACATGATTCTTGTTTTTTTCCGAGGATGTATTTTTGTTGGATGGTTTGAGATGGTTGGTTTTCTGAATGAAAAAATATTTGGTCAGAAAAACGTCAAATTAATTTGTTGTTGTGACATAAAGTCGTTTGTTATTTTTCTAATATTTTATTCCTGCATGCAGCTCATTTTTAACCTTTCTGCTCTTTGCTGTCGGCCTGTTTCTTCATCGTTCTCCTCTTCCTCCTCACTAACCTTTCAGCCGCTGGTGAGTCGACCAGCTCCACCCAACAAGCCTCTCCCCCCTGACCCCGTGACACCTGCACAGGTACGCTGCATGCTGCTTGCTGGTAGAACAGAAGGCTGATCGATAAGGTGTGCTTGTGAATGGATCCTTATGATTACTGAGATCAGCTGGTTGGGTTGATTGGGGGGATCTGAGTTGGTTGTGTTCAGGAGTAGAAATCAGCGTCTGTCCTGACAGTTTCACAGAATCAAGACAAATAAATGACTGAACCTTCCTGTATTGATTAACCAGATCCAGTTGCTCCTCTGTCCCATTAAAACAACGTTTGGATCCCGTTTTCCATCAAGCCTAAACTTTCTCAACTTTGTTTTGTTTTCAGGTTTCTGTTCCACTTAAACCTGTAGTGCCTAAAAAGCCCCGCCCTCCCGTCTCACCTCCTCAGCCATATCTGCCTCCTCATCCCGGCCTCCCGGCCAACCCCGGCTATGCCCCCACCACTAAACTGGCCACCCACGGCGCCGTTGCTCCTGCAGCTGGTCCAACCAGGTAAGACTATCACACACACACACACACATGAGCAGCTGTTCCCAACCTCTCCTGAACCGTTTAATCTGTTGCATAAACCCTTACAGTTTAGTGGGAAATATCATTTTGTAACCATCCCAGTCATTCTGATCTGGCAGAATTCTATTTGCTTTAGTTTAGCATAAACTATGTAGGTGAATGGTAACAGCTAGCACACACACACACACACACACACTGCAGAGTAACCCCAGCAGGTTTTCAGGTCAATGCTTAAGATGACGGGAAGCGGCGGGGGCGGCACTTCCTGCTGCTTGAGTGAAAGTGAATCAGCAGTCAGAAGTTTGGTTGATTTAATCAGATAAATCCCACTTAGGGTAAGATCCTGTTCTCTGAATCAGGCTGAGAAGAGCAGAACTTCACTCAGTAAAAGATAAAAAGATGGATCTGCCTCAGATTTAATCGTTTATGTTTTAACACCGCTTCCTGTCTCCCTCTTTCTCTCCGTTGACAGACGGCCTCCTCTTCGCCCCACCCGACCTGCAGTCCCTCCAAAGTTTGAATCGTCTCCTCCTCTCTGACCTTCAACTCCTCTCATGAACTTTTGGAATGAAGGAGGAGGAGTTGATGAAGATGAAGTCCTTTTATCTGTTTACACTTGTCGGATTCAATCCTTCAACTCAGACTGGATATAAAAGTGACTGAGTCAGTGCCTTGCTCAGAAGCACTTAAGCAGGAAGGATGAAAACGTTCAGGATTTAAACTTGCTACCGTCGTCCTGTTGCACCCCCTTCTGGCGCCACAGGGCTCAGTGCCTTGCTCAAGGACACACTGGACAGGAATCAAACCTGTGACTTTTGTTCAGTTACAGAATTCTGGACCCGGGTTCTGCTCCTGGACCGTCTTGAGCTTTTTATTATTGTTTTATTCAGTTCCAGGAAACATTGTTCTGAGACTTTCACAATAAAAGTTTAGAGATATGGACACTAAATCTATTTTATAGAGGAAATATTGATAAAACATTCTGAAGTCTTACTTGTTGTTTGTTGATTTTGCTGCTTATGTTTGGTTGGATTCATTCACAAATAAAGTTTTTTAATAAATTCATAAGAATTTCCTTTTGAAAATCTGACTCCGTTCTGATGATAGGGGAGAGGATTCTCTCAGGCTTGTTTTTGTTGATGAAACGTCTAGTTCTAGTAAACCCGAACTCATCTGGACCGGATCGAAGCAGACTACAGACGTCTTGGATCCGGTTGTCTTCTTTCTACCTGGTTCTGAGGTCCCTCTAACCTCAGCTGGACGTGTTTCTGATGCGACGCCAGAGACCCTTCTGGAGCTCTTCTGTGACTTGGTTCTGATCCGGCTGGTTTCTTTCATTTTAGTTTTCATATATGAACCAATAATAAATGAGTTTTTAATTAAAGAGTTTCCTGTTCCTTATGATTCTAGTGATGACTGTGGTCCAGTCTGAGAAGTCAGGCCAGTTTGAGGCTTTTGGGTAAGGCTGGACCATCAGAACATCTCGGATCCTCAGATTAAGTGTGTTTTGTGCTTCTCTGTCCTGATTGGCTCTCGGGATGACTTTCTGTCTCTGAACGCATCACTGAATCGTTTCCGCTCCTCGTGTTGAAGTGCCTTTCCTCCCCTGTGAGCATGAGGAGGAAGCTGTGGGTGAGTCTGACAGAAGTCACACTTTGCTGCTGTTCTCGTCATTTTGGATCAGATTAAACCTCAGTACTCGGCACCTCCTGTTGCTCCAGCATGGCTCCTTCAGTCCTCCTCCTGGGACTCGTCCTGAGCTCCGCCAGCGCTCTGCCTCCTCGCATCTCCTTCCTCATCGGTAAGTAACAGTTCTGAGTGAAATTTGATTGTCTTAGTCCTGTGAGTTTGTGGGAAATCATAAATCTTCTAAATGAACTTTACAAAAACGATCAAAAGAAAGATGAAATTCAGAAAAGTAAACCTGAAGAGCTTAGTGTTTGACCCTTTGACCTCCAAAAAATAGCACAAATTTGTATTATTTTTTCATTGGTTTTATTCATATTGGACTAAAAAGCAGGACCCCTGAAGCTGGGATCCCTGGACCCCCAGGGGTCTATGAGCCATAAGTTGGGGTTCTGTAAAACATCCGTAGCTGGACCTGAAGACGTGTGGTGTATGCATCCCCTGAGGTCGAGCTAATTGGCACAACCAACACAATTTTAAATTTTTCCACTTCACAAAGTAACAGAAGCGGAACCTGCAGAAATCAGAAGTCTGGCTTCATGAATGGAGATGGAAAACCAAAATATGTCTTCATGTGCAGCAAATGAAGCTGTGAAACCAGCCAGGTCACCGAGGCGTCTCCTCACTAACTGGCCTTGGTTCAACAACAGACTTAAAAGTCTTCCAGCTAAACTGTGAGGATTACACTCCCCAGGAATAAAAACAGATGGTGATCCTGGTCACAACATGTCAGGGGTCCCTGGCCCCCAAACATTTGAAAACACCTGTTAAAATCCTTATTGATAATTAACTACAAATATTATTAAATGAATACAAGATAATCATGCTTAATTTCTTATTTGCACATCTCCAAATGTTTTCACTTAGTATTTTTTTTTGTTTCACTTGAGTGCATGTTTGTAATAAGGACTGGTAATAAATAATAATAATAATAGCCTAATAGTAATAAGGTTAAATCTGCTCTACTGACCGGTTGATCCACTGGTTAAAAGGGTTAGCTGATGCTTTATTTCTTTTATTTCCAAATTAAAAATAACACATTTTATTAGTTATCTTTCATCCATCAAACAGAACATTTCTACCAGCCTTACGTGGGTTTATGTGTTTCTGACTCCGTCCAGTCTCGTCCGTCCTGTTTTCTCCTCGTTTGTCGTGTCACTGAACACGAAGTGGTTAAAGCTGCTCTAATGCACCAAATGGACTTCCTGCCTGCTAAGTGGGATGAGTAAAAAGTTTCTTTCTTATTTATAATTTATACTGTAGTTTCCATTTGTTTAGCTTTACTAATAAATGTTTTAAAAGTAGATCTGTGACCATCAGCAGCTGCTCTGAGACTGTTTTAGTTTGGACCATTTGGACAATAGTCTGCTGCTCTGGAGCATACCGGCGTGTGTTGGCAGGCGTTTTGCAAATTTAAAACATTAAAATCATGGCAGGTTTTCAGGTTTGTAATGAAATCTGTTTAATTTCTGAATGAAAATAAAAATGAAACATTTATGTGTAAACAGGAAATTAATGTCATTAACAGCTTCTGCAGGCATGATATTGTGTGATTCACGGCGACTAAAGTGTTGCCAGAAGCATTTAGGTGCGAAATAAACCAAACATGCAAATGTTTGATATTTTCTGTAAAATGAGCAAGAGAACAAAATAATGAAGGAGCCAAAGTTAGAAGGTGTAAGTAGTTTCATTTTATTTGATTTATTGAACTTTCTTAAAACTCCAAACTGGAGTATGGCTGGAAACAAAAAACAGTAAAAACACAAAGTCACTCAAGTGTGCGGTTTGTTAAAACCACATAAACGTTTGCGTGACTGCCGTGTTGCAGTTTAGGAAATTTTGTCTCTGAACTATGTCCCAATTTGCTCTCAGTTTGATGTCCAACTTCTCCCGGACTTTAAAAAAAGTCTGAGAAAATTTTAAATCAATGAAATCAGGAAGGATGCATCTTGTTTTTACTAAAGGTGTTCCTCAGGGATTCGTACTCAGACTTTCAGTTTTTACTGTGATGATCAGGACTTTACAACAAGGTTTTACTATTTAGTCTGAGTCTCTCAGAGGCCAAAACCTTTTAAACATTTCTTTTTAGTTTAGTAGTTTTTTTATTTCTAGTTTTATCTGAGATAAACAACCTAGTGGTCGACCTGTCAGTTAAACAGGTAAATCATTATTTAAAAATGAAGAAACTTAAAGTTTAGTAACTTTAAAGTTTTTTCTTCACGTTATTCCGCATGTTGAACTCTTGCTCCATCTAATGTTGTAATTTCCTCACAGGAAGTGAAATGAACACAAACGTCACCTGAAACCTCCATTTTATGTTTCTGACGTGTCGTCATTATGGACCAAAGAACAACAGATTGTTTCAACTCGGTGGCAGAAGCTATTTATAATGGGAGCAGAGGCTGAAACAACTGAACGTGTGAAATCGTGTACCTGATCACATCACAGAGGAAATAGGTCTGGGGAGTACAACTCAAGAGCTCCATGCAGCTCTGAATGTGGTCCGGTTCTGTCCCGGGGTCTCCTCCCTCAAGGTCTAAGAGGTGTCCAGGAATCCTCCAGGAAGAGGCCACTTGTGAATCTCCTCAACCTTTTGATGAGGTGTAGCTGCTCACAACTTCCTCGCTACTGAAGCTTCAGGATTAAGTTTCTGATTTTTATTACTAGGTTTTAAAGCCTTTAGGCAAACAAAGCTGTTTATATTTAGTTATTTAGTGGTTTTTACCTTCTGGTTTAGATGAATTTTAACACCATCCAGAGAAACTCAGCTGATTGTTTGTTGCATTACAGACTGTAGATGTAGATGCAAGCAGCTTCAGTAACGAGCTGAAGATTAACCCTTAGATTAAACTCTTATCTTTGTGGAGGCTTCCAGCTTTTCTGCAGCTCTTAACCACTTCCTCTCTACTAGAATTACCGTCGTTGCTTCGGCCTCAGAAACAGGAAGTGGTATCTGCCAGTCATCTGACTTATAGACATGGTGTTATTTATTCCTCTGCATTTAGTTTCAAGTCTATTGTTTTTCAGAGGAATCAACTCATTTAGAATTGCTGAAGTGAAAACAATACGTTTGTGTCAACTAGTAGGTGAAGAAGGATCAGGTCTGGTCACCAGACACATTTAGACCCGCTCGGTTCGGAGTCAGGGTGGTTCTTAGTCAGATCACCACAGACTTACGACTTCCTTTGGTCTCATTTAATTTACCATGATTTGTTTTTATACTCTGACACATTACATTTTCTTTTCTTTTTAAAGTTTTGTTTATGTGAATATTCCATCCTTTTTGGATAATTCTGGGCTGATTTGGACCCATTTGACCTCGCTGGTCCTGTCTGTTTGGACATAAGTATCTAAACATTTTTCTGCCCTCGATTTGTTCTAAAAACTGAATTTAAGACACACTTCAGACTCATTTTAGAAGGTTGATGGTTCATTGACTATGTGTGTGTGCGTGTGTGTGTGTGTGTGTGTGTGTGTGTGTGTGTGTGTGTGTGTTTCAGACTCCATCGACCGACCTCTTGTCCATTTCAGCCTTCCTGATGTTCAGAACACCAACATGCTGTTGCTAAGCGACGGTGTCTCCACCCTTTATGTCGGGGCACAAGACACCATTCTCTCATTGGACATCAGCCAGAGTGATGTCATCAGGCTGAAGAAGCAGGTGAGACTGACTCAGGTGAGAACTCCTCTGATCCTGTCTGATGTTATACTCAGGTGCTTGCTCCTGTCTTCAGGTGTCGTGGAGACCGACTGCGGAGGAGATATCCAAGTGTGGGATGAAAGGGAAAAACTCACAGGTGATTATTAATCATTTATTCTAATAATCTTGGTTTGTGGCTCAAAATCCAGAATTTTTCAGAAAATCTGACAAATATTTCTAGTTTCTGTTTTGTAGGCAGCACTTTGGTCATGTAGTTTTAAAGTACATCCTTAATAAGTCTGATGGTAAATATGACGTGAAAGAATGAATGTTTTCATGGCGCCAACTCTCCAGGTGATGTCATTAGACTACAGTTATGATATAAAGTAACGCATGTATCACAAATAAACATCCATTAATGGAAATGTAAGAACTCAACTATTTGATAATTATATTTAATTACCGTATAAATATTTATTTAAAAGCTTTATTTCTTCATTAAAGGTGCATTATGTAGAAATGAAGTAAAAGGACATCCTGTGGTAAAATTTGGTTACAGCAACCACTTTTAACAACTCTGGAGCTTTTTGTCAGCTGTCGTTATATTACAGTTGTGGGCGCTGCAGTATTAGCTCACAGGAGACACGGCAACCCCACACTCACTGATGGTAAACAGTAGTTACGTCCCTCCTTCCTCTGATTTGAAAGGAGAAAAACTGACAGTCCCCTCAGCCAGCTGAATATGAAATACTTTTCAGTATAACCTTCCTTCCAAAATGACTGAAACATTAGACTCATTTGGGATTTTCTCACTGTAAAAGCCTCACTATATTCTTACATACTGCACCTTTAACATACCAGCATTCCTGTCTATGTATTTTTATTTATTCATTTTGTCAGGCAATAAATAAATTAGGTATTTAAGAAAATCAGCAGCAGGGTAATTAAGGTAGTTCAGATGTTTTATTTATTTATTTTGCCTGTCTTCAGGTCGACTGTCCCAACTTTGTCCATGTGGTCCAGCCAATAAACTCCACTCACCTTTATGCCTGTGGCAGCTACGCCTTCAGCCCTCACTACGCCTTCATTGTAAGTCCCAGCAGATCGTGTAGACTCAGAATCAGAACATTCAGCTTGGTTCTCTGGTTCAGCCTCTGTTTGTGTCCTTCAGGATGTTGAAAGCTTCACGCTGGTAGATCAGGGTGCAGCTAAAGGTCACTGTCCATTCAGTCCCTATGAGAGGAGCTCAGCCATCACCATCGGTAGGTCTGACCCATCTCCGAGTGTTTTTATTTAGGGGTGGGGGTGTCAAGGTTGGGAAAATGCTTAAACTTGTAACTGGAGTTTTTGTTGTACATCAGTCATTATGAAGGTACTTCAAAATCTAAGCAAACACTTTGAAAGTACTTGGATCAGAGGTTTAGGAGCTCTGGTGTTTGTTCTGCTGGATAGCATCAGTCTCATGTTTTACTGGTTTTAACTGGTGAAAACATTGCACCGGTTGAGTGGAGTTTTTGTTTGATTAAGGCTCTATCTGTTATTTATGTTTCTGCGTGTGCAGACGAGGAACTCTACACAGCCACAACTTCCAACTTCTTGGGAAACCAACCACAGATTTCTCGATACTTCAGCAGAGGCAGACGTCCGGACGTCAGCTTGGACTCGCCCATCAGCTTACTGAGTGGTGAGGGTGGAAACCACCGGCTGAGTTCAGGAACAAGATCTGGTCAAACACCAACGCCCAGCAGGAGGTCCCATAAGTGGGGCTGATGTGATGACAGAATCAAACACATGAAGAGTTTTTTGGAGTTAATGAAATGAATGATTTAAAACTTCAAACTTAGTTGCTGACCTCAGAGAACCTTAATCCTCGATCACACCAATGTTTCAGTAAATCTTTACTTCCTCTTTTGATCTCAGATGATCCATTACCTTTGTCAGAAGGTTTGCTTTTGTTTTAGTCTTACAAAGGTTTGACTGAACCAATAAGGGGATCTTTAAACGTTGACTTTTATCTCTCTCAGAGTCTGAATGCTTCTGACTCTCAGAAACAGTCAGACCTTCTCGATCATCTACTTATGTGTTTCAGAACCAATGTTTGTGAGCTCCTCATTTGATCCAGAGCAGCAGAAGATTTACTTCTTCTTTAATGAAGTTGGGAAAGAATTCCGTTTTACGAATGAGCTTCGAACTGCTCGGGTGGCTCAAGTCTGCAAGGTGAGAGGAACCTGACGAGATGATGGTGGAGTTAGGAGATGGAGGTAAAACTGTTTGTTCCACAGGATGATGTTGGTGGAGTGAGGATTCTGCAGAAGAAGTGGACCTCCTTCGCTAAAGCCACCTTGAACTGCCAGAAGCCCAAACACCCACCATTCAATGTTCTGCAGGATATGTTCACCCTCCAGCCACCAGAGGGCAGTGAGTCATCAGAAACCGTGTTTTATGGCATCTTCACCTCTCAGTGGTAAGAAAAGAGCATTTACACAGAAACAGGAAGAAAACGTTTAAACAACCATGGCCAAGTTACAATATTTGGGCCCAATCTCAATACTCGCCTTGTGGTCTTTAGCAAAGTGCACTTGGAGAAAGTGCGCTGTAACGCTTTGAGTGCGTAGTACCCAAGTGTGCAGATAATTGCTGAATTGAGATGGGGAGCATTGCGTCATCGACCGCAATGCATGCTAGGATGCTGGTCGCTGTGATACATTTTTCAAAAACCTTTATTAACAACTTTCAAACAAACAACCAAACAATTATCCATACATCCATTTTCTTCCGCCTATCCGGAGTCGGGTCGCAGGGGCAGCAGCCTAAGTCGAGAGGCCCAGACTTCCCTCTCCCCAGCCACTTGGGCCAACTCTTGCGGGGGAATACCAAGGTGTTCCCTGGCCAGGTGAGAGACATAGTCCCTCCAACGTGTCCTGGGTCTCCCTTTAGGTCTCCTCCCGGTTGGATGTGCCTGGAAAACCTCACCAGGGAGGCGTCCAGGAGGCATCCTCATCAGATGCCCGAGCCACCTCAACTGGCTCATCTCAATGTGGAGGAGCAGCGGATCTACTCCGAGCCCCTCCCGGATGACCGAGCTTCAAACACTTATTTGAAATAAATTTACATTGATTGCAGCTTTGTCTAAAAGTTTCAGAGCATCAACTAATCCTCCTAAAATTAACTAATTTCATTAAAAAATACATATTTTCAGAAAAGGCACTTGAGCCTTTTCTCCCACAGCAATGGATTGTGGGTATCCTTCACCCAAGACCGCAATGCTGCAAACTTGGGTAAAGTGCAGATCAAGGGTGCAAAAGGGGTGTGATAAACTTCCGCATTTGAGAATTGAGACACCCTATGCACTCACACCCTTGGTCGGGATCGCGCAATTGAAGGGTGCAAGGGTGGAAGTGCGAGTACTGGGATTGGGCCTTGCACTCCCGCTCTTGCACTTCTCAAATGTGTGTTCCCATCCAGGATTGCGAGTGCTTAAGGTGTCCCAATTTTTAAATGTGGACCAAGGCCCCGTCCCACTTGTGCCCTTGCCGTAGTATCCATTGAAGCAGACTTTAGTGAAGGGTATTACCACCAAAAAACTTCTTCCGGCTCTTGGAGAGTACAGATGCTTTTTTCCTCCTCTCCTCTCTGTCTTATCCCAAGGCTCTTTGTCTGTCTTTGGGTGTACGGCACTTCTGCATTTTTTCTGAAAACTGGAAATTATTAATAATGGATCTGGTCAGTTGGTCTCTCAATGCGATTGACAACATTTTTTCAACAATGAGAACGGGAGAAGTGGCTCCCGGATGGCCCTCTGGGTCAGAGCCAGCTGGGCATATCATGGACTCCTGAAAACAGTGGAACCTGATCTGCCTCTCAACTGTCTGTAGAGGATTCTGAAGACGTCTGGATATTCGGGGTGTTGGTGTCAGGTTTACTGCTTTTTGGCCTGAGTGGTTACCTGGCTTACCGGAAAATTAATGAGCTGTCGAGGAATATTGGCTCAATCCCGGAGCTCAGGGATCGATTACACCACGCTGTGAACGCACAAACTCATATAATTGTCGAGATGAGTCGTAAGTTTGGAACTTTGGCTGAGATTCAGACTCTGGCACAGAAGGTGGATTTGATCAAGGAGAAAGTTGACGGGCCAGCACAGATTGGGATTGATTAATTATGCCATTATTGGATTTAGAGGGGTTGAGGACCAACAGAACTTTAAGACAGAAAGGAAATGATCTCTGTCTGGCCCCAAAACAATTTCTTATCTGAATCTGGTGCCTTTGAGCCTGTGAGGCTGAAGTGATTACTCCCCCTCAGAAGAAATGTGGAATGCTGCCGTCGCTAAGGCAACTGTGTCTCCCTATCCCAGCCTGGGCGGGACTGCGACCGGTAAAGGCCGTTGAATCATTTCCAGGAGTCACTGTGCTTTCTAAGGATGGGTACCTTTGACATTTGAATCGATCCGGTACTAATTCCCGGTACCTACGAATCAATACCGGTACTTAACGGTACCAATTTTCGATACTTTTGAGTGTTTAATATTTTAATTCTTTTACAATTAGATACATATTTTTCTCAATTTATAACCATATTTCATAAATATCACGATAAATAACATACAACTGTTTGTATTTTAACATTGTCCTTGTAGTTTTATAAGCTGATAATTAAACTGAAGCAAACATCTTTACTGTGAACTAAATTTACTGTGTATCTTCATTCCTTTTGCCGTCCTTTTTCTTTTGATTTTTCCTACTGGGAAGTTAGAATTTCCGAGGAGAAAGCGAACGCACCATTAGATGATAACAATGGAGGCATAGGAAGCTAACATATCAAGCTAACGTTATCTTAAACAGTTTATTTAACTGCTGGAGCAGATTAAAACGATGATGCCTCACACTTGGATCGTTGTCGCTGGTTTCATCTTCACCCAATCACCCGTCGCATTTAGTAAAGTGAAGCCAAACTTTAGTGCGCGTTCGTGTTCTTCTAGTCGGAATTTCGGAGTTCCGAGGAGAAAGTGAACGCACCATTAGTGAAACGGAAGCTAACAAATCAAGCTAACGTTATCTTACATTTTATTTACCTACCGGAGCAGATTAAGATGAGGATGTCTCACTTAGATCTTTGTCATCATCACCCAGTTACCCATCACATTTAGTGAAGTGGACCCAAGCGTTAGTGTGCTTTCTTTCTACCATGCTGCTCTGTTTACAACTCGCTCGCAGCGGCCGATGACTTAACGCTCTTGCGCATGCGCAGCTGTCTAGGCAAGTTCTTGTTGTGAAGAACGGGTACCGAAACGAGGCACCGTTTCAAATGAAGTGAATCGGTGCTCGGTCGGTACCTTAAAAAGTACCGAATTCGGTACCCATCCCTAGTGCTTTCTAAACCCAACTACCTCCCTCCCCTGTCCAAATGGAGGTGACGAGTGCTGCTTATCATGGCTGCATGCACTGATGTGTGGAGAGTCCCCAACCCTACCTCCACACCTAGTGGACACTTATGTTGTGTAATGTCTGAAGTCTGTTGCATTTCTGTCTGAGGTGTTTTTTTAACATAGCAAAGCTGCCCTCCCTGTGAATGGTAACTCTGAAGTGCCTTTGTTTTCCCTCCACCTGATTCAATCCTCATATAAACCCTCTGATCTCTATTAACGTAGCGCGACTCGGGTTGGGAATGACCACAGTCACCAGTTCTTGTCATGTGTCTATGTCTATGTATGTATGTCTGATCTCAGAATTGTGTATACTAAAACTTTAATTTCCCTCTGGGATTAATAAAGTATCTTTGAATTGAATTGAATTGAATTGAAGTGACCTTTCTGAAAATATTTATTTTCAAGTGTAATTATTGAAATATTGAATATTTTAATATTGTGTTCAATTATGATTACAATCAAAATTTTCTCTGTTGGAAAGATGCATTCCATGTTTGTAGAAAAATGTTAAGTGATAACGGTAATGGGGTGTCATTTTGGACAAAATATGCCAGAAATGTAATAACAAACGGCTACCAGCAGCCCCTGTTAAGAAGTCTCGTTCAATGACGCAGTGCTCTCCATCCCAATTCTGCAACTATTTGCAATCTTGTTATGCTCTCGTAGCCTTAAATGCACTTCCTCCAAGTATACTTACAGATGACCCGAAGGCTGCTGTGTGGGAATTGGGACAGGGCTAATGTGTTTTCTGCTTCTATAACTATGTGGTGAAAAGACAAAGTGCAGAGGACCACTTTGATATTTCTGAGATGGCTCTTCCTTCTTCTAGTCGCATCTCCATTCTGATAGACATAATTAAGACGTGGATGTTTATAAGAAGGACTGCATACTGAGGTTCACCACACAGTCTCAGATTTAGTTCGTATTTTAGCAGCTCAGCCTTCTCACAGTTCCAGATGGGAAAAAATTAGGAATTGTAACAAATATTTTAATTCTTCACCCTGTTTGGTTTTCCGTAGGTTTTTTCCAGAACCTTGCTGCAAACGTTCATAAATATAAACAAACATTTTTTTAACTCTCTGTCAGGTCTTTGCGTCAAAACTCTGACTCATGTTTCAGGTCGACTCAGACGGCGTCGGCGGTGTGCACGTTCAGGCTGAAGGACATCAGATCTGTCTTCTCTGGAGCTTATAAGAACATAAATACACTTCAGTTGGTTACCCATCCCTACCTGGGAAAGGTGATGACATCCCTTTCACTCACCTGCTGAGCTCTGACATCATTGTTTTGAAATGAAATTACAGTGTTTTGTCACAGAGTTGCTGCCTGACCCAATTTAGTTTCAGTGGTTTCTACATTTTAATCTTCATAAAAACAATTTGCCTATTTTGTTGTGGGACTTTTTTTCTCAACAGTGCGGCTTAGCGAATTCCTCCGATTCAAATTTGGCCGAGGTGAGGAAGAATTTCCTGACCAGCAGGAGCGTGAATCCTGTTGGACAGGTCGTTGTTTCTTCTGAGCAGAAGTACAGTAGAGTGGTTGTAATGAGGACACAGGCAGCCAATAGCCAACACTACAATGTCCTCTTCCTTCTTACAGGTGAGATGCTTATCTCTTTAACCTAAACTTTCATTATTTGGTTGATAAATCATCGTGTTTGATCCCTAGAAACCGGGTTTCTCCACAAGATGGTTTTGCTGGATCAGGGCCCTTGGATCATTGAGGAGATTCAGGTCTTCACCCAACCTCAGGTGGTCCGGAGCATGGTCCTTTCGGCCTCCAAGGTAAATACAAAACATTTGAATCTGGGGATCTTCTCAGGTCTCGTTCTAGTTAGGGTGGATTTCTTTTAAGTTCAGAAATTATTTCTGTCAACAAAAATTTAGACACAAGATTCAGATAGGAATTTCTTACTGGGAAATAAAATAAAGAACAAAATTACACAGAAAGCTAACCCTGTAACACCAAGTTTATCAAATCTGAATTAAAGAGAACATATTATATAAAACTCACCTTTTACATCCTTTTGAGCTGCCATGTGGGTCTCTACTGCATCTATAAACACTCCAAATGTGAGTAAAAACTCATCTATCTGCGTTTGGTCTTGGTTTGTTTTAGGAATTATTGACTTAAAATGAGCTGTTACAAAAAGTTTCTTATTGTGACATCACAACAAGAAAAACTAGCATTGAACCCCCCACCCCACCACCACCACCTGTTATCTCAAGAGGAGCAGCGGCTCTACTCCAAGCCCCTCCTAGATATCTGAGCTCCTCACCTCATACCAGCCAGTAGGGCATGGGTGGGCATGGCTCGTAAGAGATTCCTTTCCTTCAAGTGACAGAACCCTGAAACGGCTCACCCGGAAGGTACTGAAAATGGTGAAGAGCTGCTGAGATCGCTTTACATGAGATGGATTTCAAGGTGAGGCTCACTGATAAATATATAATATTTGTCTGTGTTGATTTAGCATCCAGGGGAGATCAGGACCAGTCCTGGCTTGGAGAAGCTAACCGTTATCATTAGTGACTCCACAACATAATAATAATAATTAAAGCTGCAAGCAATGTCGTTCGGCCCTCGCAGCTCCGCGCCGCTCCGGCCTGGCCGGCAGCCCGGTGCACCCGGTCATGTCCGCGGGACATAAACGTCGACCACCCCAACACCAAAAACCGCGAACGGTCTCCTCATCCGCACCTCACCCTGACTCAGTGTCTCCTCTGAGCCCCCCAATAAATTTCACATCTCACCACTAGGGCATACATAAGGTTTATGGAGGGGGGTATTTTTCACATTCTAGGGGGTGCTGTGGAGCTAGTTTTATTGAGATTTTTTTTAGGACCTTTAAAATACAAAATTTTACACCACGCCTGACATGTGTGCAAAAATTCCCGAGTTTTCGGGTATGTTAAGGCCTCCAAAAAGCCAATTTACTTGGCGGAAGAAAAATAAGCAGAGCAGATACAATAGGCCTTTGCAGCGCTTTCGCTGCTCGGGCCTAATAATAATGCATTTTATTTTAAAGCGCCTTTCAAGGGACACAAGGACACTTTACAACAATAAAATAACAACAAAGAAACCAAGTTAAAAACAGCAAAAATCACACACAGAAGCCTAAAAATACAAACTAGATAATAAAATCAATGAAGATGGAAAAGGTGACACTAGCAGTATGCAGTCTGAAACAGGTGGGTTTTGAGTCTAGATTTAAAGGAGGAGAGCGAGTCAGAGTTACGGGTGGCTTGAGGGAGAGAATTCCAGTGAGCTGCTGAAGGCTCTGCTCCCCATAGTGCTGAGACGGAAAGGTGGGACAGAGAGAGTGATAGAGGATGAAGATCTGAGGGAACGGATGGGAGATGTGAATGAGGTCAGACAGGCAGGGGCACAGATAGGATTTTCAAACTGGGGGGACAATGTTCCAATGTACCCTCCCCCAAACACACACACACACACACACACACACACGTGCACGCACGTACACATACACAAACTATTGCAAGCGCCTTAACTAGAGCTCAGTCAGTTTGTGTAATTTCATCCAATGGTTTACGTAAAAACCAACTTTTATATACGTGTTTGAAGCCATTATGCAATGGAACGCTAGCAACAAAGCTCTGCCTGATCAACACTATAAATAATAAATGATAAATGATCCGCACTTGTATAGCACCTCTCAGAGTAAGGACTCCAAAGCGCTTTACACTACAGTGTATTATTCATCCATTCACACACATTCACACACTAATGGTGATAAGCTATGATGTAGCCACTGCTGCCCTGGGGCGCACTGACAGAGGCACCCCACTATTTAATTCAGTCATTTGTTATTCTCCCAATGAAGTACTAACCAAAACCTCATGCTGAATGCAAAGCATTAAATGATTTTCAGCATACCAATCTTTACAGAAAACATAAAAACCCTAAAAAACTGCACATAAAATATATTTAAACAAATATATTCACTTATCACTTAGAACAGTGATTCCCAAACTTTTCAGCCTGACCAACAGATGTTCCTTTGTGTTTTTGCTTTATTTAGAAATTTTCATTATATTTAGAAAGTTTTTATTTATATTTAAATATATAAATCTCTTTTTAAATTTTATATTTTACTTTTTTTATGATTATGTGGCACACTTGACTTCCATATTTAACGCATCGGCATCTGTCTCTTTTTACAGCTTTTTTTTTTTACATTGTCGCTACTTCTGTCACATTTGCGGTGTTTTTACCATAATTTCTATATCCATCACGTCTCAGAAGGTTAAACAAACATCAAACCCAACGTTTGGGGCTTGTAAACTCCACACACCTCTCGTGCAGCACCAGCTGTCTGATGCTGCAGCAGCGTCAATCTTCCCGCCTGGATGAGTGAATTTCTTCATCAGAGTCAATATTCTGCTTCATAATCAGAGTCAGTCATTACCAGACAAAGTGATCAGTCAACAAAGACCAGCCTTGCCGGCAATTATATGTTTTATCTAATATTTGCGCTCTTCATGTTGTGCGCATCTCCTCCTCTTTCCGACTGGGAGCCTCTCGGCGGGAGGCGTTTTTCAAACTCTAAAAAGTCTAAAACTTTGCTCAGCCTGAAGGTTACACATCTCCACTATCTTATGATGTAAAGTAGTAACTTCATGAGGGATCATAGACGGTGGCACAGGAGTTAAGTGCTCGCCCCGCAATCGGAAGGTTGCAGGTTCGAGCCCCGCTCAGTCTGTCGCTGTCGTTGTGTCCTTGGGCAAGACACTTAACCCAACTTGCCTGCTGGTGGTGGTCGGAGGGACTGGTGGCGCCAGTGCTAGGCAGCCTCGCCTCTGTCAGTGCACCCCAGGGCAGCTGTGGCTACATCGTAGCTCATCCCCACCAGTGTGTGAATGTGTGTGTGAATGGGTGAATGACTGATTGTGTTGTAAAGCGCCTTGAGGGGTTCCAGGACTCTAGAAGGCGCTATATCAAATACAGGCCATTTACCATTTACCATCATATTTGTAGATGAGACTTGTTAAAGTCAGCAGTGAGGCTTTGACGCTTATAACTAGTAAGTCCCAACACTGACAACAATGTACTGAAACTAGAACCAGCATGCATAAACAGACAGATCGGTCCCGCCTGCTTACACTGTTGGTCTTTTTTAAATACGCAGTAATCGTTGCTTGCCTTTTTCGCTTCATCCTGCATCCTTGCAGCAACCACTTTGGCGCCTCTGGAGTCGATGTTTGTTTACGTCATGCTGCATTCAGTGTAATTGGAAAAATGGGCTTCAAGCGCTTAACCTCCGACTTTGTTTTCTTTCTGGCCTTGGTTGGGGGGGGATCGATCGATCGGGATCGATCTGAATCTGCGGGGGACAGATCCCCCCCCCCCCGTCCCCGTCCCCCACCCCATCTGCGTGCCTGCCAGGTATGGGGGAGAAAGGTTATGGATAGCTTTAAATGTGAGGAGAAGGATTTTGAAATCTATGCGTTGTCTAACAGGAAGCCAGTGAAGCTGTTGCAGGACAGAGCTGATATGGTGACCCACAGGGGTTTTTAGAAATGATGCGTGCAGCAGAATTCTGGACCAGTTGGAGCTTATGGATGGGCTTTAGTGGTAAACCAAGTAGGAGTGAATTGCAGTAGTCGATTCTTGAGGTGACAAGACTGCGAACAAGTATGGAAGCAGAGTGGGGGGTGAGAGAGGGGCGAAGGCGATTAATATTGCGCAGTTGAAAGTAGGCAGACCGAGTGATGTTACTGATGTGGGATTGAATTGAAAGAGTGGTGTCAAGGATGACACCCAGACTCTTAACCTGCATGGAAGGAGAAACAGAGGAGGCATCAACTGTAAGGGATAAATTGGGAGCTTTGGATAAGGTGGATTTGGTGCCAACTAAAAGGATTTCTGTTTTGTCACAGTTATGTTTGAGAAAATTTGTGGTGAACCAAGATTTAATTTCAGCTAGACAGGAAGAGATGGAGGGGGGTGGAAGTGGAGATTGGGGTTTTAAGGAAAAGTAACGCTGGGTGTCATCGGCATAGCGGTGAAAATGAATGTTACATTTGTGAAAGATAACATGGCAAAACTCCTTCAGTGGTGTTTTATTTTTGAAGATAAAACATCAGTGTTTCAGTGCGAATCGAGGCAGTGGGAGAGTTGTGTTGCTTTTAGCCAATCAGAATTAAGAGATTCACCCATTTCATCATGTAACCCTAGATCCCCAGCAAAGCAGCTTTTGTAACACGTCAGCAGCGGTGACCTGGCTGTCAGGAGCACCGGGTCATATCCCATGCAGTGGTTACATTTATGAGTAATTTATTAGTAAAATATAAGACAATTATTGTTATTAAAACACCAGTCAATAAACGGATTTATAAGAAATATCATTTCTGATTTCTGAGTGGCTCTGGTTCTGTAGGGAGTCCTGTATGTGGGGACGTCTGCGGGTGTAACGGCTGTGTCTGTGGCCAGGTGTTCAACCTACCAAAGCTGTGGCCAGTGCCTTCTGGCCAGAGATCCTCTGTGTGGGTGGAGTCGGACCACGAAGGTCTGCACCAGTCCAGATGCCCATCATCAGGACCTGTGAGTGAACCATCATCATCATCCAGAACGTCTGGAAGAAACACGTTTTTATTTCTTAGTGTTTAAAAATTATTTTATATGAAGTGAATTTAGACACGATATTTGAATAATCATAAATCAGCTACTGATAACAGAACATAATCAAGTTGTCTGTCCTGCTCAGGCTGATGAGACATCAGCTGATACACAAAGCAGCTTAAGGGTTCACATCACAAACATTTCAAACTGGAGAAGATGTGAACGGTTGTTCTGGTTTTTCGACAGGAAAACATTAAAACAAAAAAAAATATTAAGAGGATTTGGACATGTGGGCATATTTTGGCCATTATTAATAAACTAATACATTACATAATTAAAAATAAAAGCACTTAATAGAAGGTCTTGAATTTAGAGAAAAGCTACACTTTTCTAAAATTAAAGGGATATTATTACCTGACGGTGTAAATGAGCACCTTGATGGCAAAAAAGTTGAATTCATTCATTCATTATTCTGACTGATCAGATTAAAATGACCTCTGGGGGTTTCTATGCTGGACCTGAAACAGGAAGCAAATTTCTGCTGTTTTTCTAGATGAAAATTTTGAAATCTTGAATTTAAATTTCTAATGGAAAGAGAAAGTAAACATTTATTTAATGTGTTCATTTTTTTCCATAAATCACTAAAGTCCTGACTTCTGACTGATAGGCTCTTGGTTTTTATTTCAGAGTTCAAAACCTGGAAAGCAGAAGTGTGGAAGAGGATTGCCAGGAGGAAAACAAGCCCACTGAAGTCACAGGTAACATCTTCCAGTATATTTGAGAAAAATTCCTGTTTAAAGGAATGCGTGGCAGTTTTGGCTTGCTTTTAGCACCCCCTAGTGTCTGTTTAGTAGAACCAAAACCAAAATGTATCTCCTTGCTGTGCATTTGTCTTTTTAACACCTTAATCTAACAGCTGACATGTCTCCTCAGCCTTCATTGGTGTCTACAGGAGTGGTTCAACACTAAATGAAACAAATCAGCTGTGTTCACAATCTAAAACATGCAGAAAAAGTGCTGGAAGCAGACTGCAGCGCTAGCATGTCAACTCAATTTTTTCTGAGTCCAAAAGGTGGCAGCCCGCCACTCTGAAGTTGCAAGTGCTTCTGTTGATATTCAGATACAGTGGGGGTCTGAGTGACTTTTCATTAAAGGGTCATTTGATCACATACTGGCTCAACATAATGATTTTAAAAATAAAAAAAATGTTGAATAGTATCCTTTTAAGCCTCTGCTGTTGTTGAACCGTCTTCCTGTTTCTCCTGATTCACTCCTGCCAGCAGAAGTCGGCGTTCATCTGAATGAAGCTGTGAAGCTTCCATGTGTGAAATCTTCCAACCGGGCCTCTCTCACCTGGACCTTCTCTCAGAGCAGAAGTCTACCTGAGAATCTCTTCATCCACTCAGCTGACGGCAGCCTCAGATTCCTGGCCTCTTCCAGGACGTCTGGGACCTACAGCTGCGAGGCGGAGGAGGACGGATTCAGGGAAGTTGTTGTGAGTTACAACGTTCGGCTGTTTCCAAACCCACGGCATTTACCCAGAACTGAGGTGTCACAAAGCCCAGAAGAAAGTTTCGAGGACATTGAAACTCAGGAACCGACCCGAAGTTCAGATTTCATACAAGAATTGGAGACAAAGACAATAATCAACAGGAAACAAGATTCTAGATCGGAAAACACAGAAGTTCCAGGAGACCACATGACTGCAGAGGATCTCTCAACCAAAAACAAGTCCAATAAGGAAGGTTATGAATTTTCTGAACATGCAGGATTCATTGCCAAGAGTTACCACAGCGAGCTGGTGGTGGTCTCCTTCCTGCTGGCCGCCTGCCTCTGTGTCCTGGTGCTGGGCTTCCTCCACACCTGGAGACAGAAAAAAACTGATTCCAGATCAGTTCTTCTGGAGGCGTCAGAGTTCTACAGTAAAACAAATGCATCTACAGAGATCTGTTCACTGAGCAGTCCGGAGAATGCAGGTCCTGATCAGACTGTCACACAGTGACCCATGACCCTTAATCTAGGTTAGAAATCAGAACTGTTTGTTTTTCTAATCAGAACAACAGCTTTATTCCAGCAAAATGAGAATTTAGAAAAAAGGAACTCGTAACACATCATAAATCTAGAGGGTTTTTATGCTCAGATATTTTAGCTAAATCGAGGAAAACCTGATATTTTTAGTTCTCGGAGATAAATCCATATCGGAATTTGCTTCTACAAACAAATCTGTTACTGAAATCAATAAAACAGAAGAAGAAAATATTCATTTTTATTTTACTGAAATAAATTATATTGTCTGTTAGATCTGTGACTATTGATTTTTGGCAACATGTCTTCAGAAAACATAAAAACTCAAATTAATATTTTATATGTAAATGTATTTTAGTTTTTATTTGGATTACAGAAAGTTTTTATTTTATTTTAAATAAAATGTATCTGTTGCTTTCAAGCAGAATCTTATTTTTAAATAATTATTTTCTGTTAGATTTATTTTTGTATAACTATTCAGATCCATGATGAATACATTTAAAAAGCAATCTTGTTTTCTAAAATTAGGACTTGAACCAGGACCTGGTTTGTTTTTTTAATTTACTGAGAATTAATATAAAAATAAGATTTATAAATTCTGAATTACTGCAAGAAGTTTGCAGGTTTGATTCCCAGCTGCAGCCATTCTGAGTGGAGTTAACATATTCTCATGCATGTGTGGTGTTAGCTAATTATTTATATGTTAATTGAGATGCAATTACCATAAATATGATTTCTGTGCTAACTGGCTCATATATTATATCATGTATGTTTATAAAACTGTTTTAAAATCTGTAAATTTACTGATGATGTTACTGATTGTGGGTTTTTGTTTTCACTGTAAACAAAAGTAAATATGATTTAATTAGTATTTACCTTTCCAGCAGTTAGGTTTTTTGTAATCCTTTGACCCTCCCACTGTCCTATTGGGTGACCCCTCCAGGAAGGTGACTGTTGGAACAGGGTTGATGGTTTAGCCCGATAGTTAAAGAGAGTTAAACGTGTCCTGGTTCTGGCCCAGGTCTGATATGTTTCTTCTTCTTCTTCTTCTTCAGTGAGGGAGGTAGGCTAGACACCCAAAAGGCGTATTGCTGCCACAACCGCCCAAACACACTGCCAGAGAGCGTCACAGCCTCTCATAAACCCCCGTCACATGCAGAAACCACATCAGGGCCCACACCCTACGCCAGTCCTCCACACCCAGCAAGGTCCGCAGAGAAAACACTGACAGACCCATGGCCCTCAAACTCTGAAAATAGTTCTCCCTCTCACGACCATACCGTCCACAGTGCAGAAGAACATGGCACACAGACTCAGGCTCCCTACAATCACACCTCCCATCCACGTGTTTCCCCACCAAAAACAGCTTGCTTCGAAGATCACAATGCCCCAACCTCAACCGAGTGAGGACCACCAAGTCTCTCCTCCAAAGATCAAGGACCGACCCACAGCCACCCACCAAACGATGTAACCCGTAAAGGCCCCTACCCAAAACCCCACCATCCCACGATGCTTGCCACAATCTCATGACCTCCCTGCCTATCGCTGAACAATACTCAGGAGAGCCCATGGCAACCTCCAGGTCCACAACAGTACTCCTCAGCGCCGCCTTGGCCACAGAGTCCACCCTCTCATTGCCCACCATCCCCACATGGGCAGGAACCCAAACAAAACAAACTTCACTGCCACAAGCCCGCAGATCATGCAGCATTGTCCTGGCAGAAATCACCAGGTCTGGCCTGGAGCCAGAGCCAGACCCTGACAGAGCCTCCAACACAGCAGCTGAGTCAGAGCAGATAACAGCACGCTCCAGGACATGCTCCGTCACCCAACGCAAGGCACATAAGATAGCCACCAACTCAGCCGTGAACACGGAACAATGGTCCTGGAGCCAACAACCAAAGCTGAAGCATAGGTGTGGGACCACCAAACCCACCGCCACCCGACCACTATCAGGATCATTAGAGCCGTCTGTATACAGCTGCAAATGAGAGCCCCACTCCAACCCCATAAAGTCCTGAAAAGCACCAGCTACCCCACCATCACGGCAACGCCCCAAAAAGGTAAAATCCACAGGCAGAAGCCAGGGCGGAACATCAGACCAGCACGAACAGACAGGCCAATCTAGGAAGCCCAAGGCGTCTGCTCTATCCCGCAATCGGGCAGAAAATCCACCCTCACCAAACCGACCCCGCCCTCCAGACGCCCAGTGCCGGTCCAACAGGCCCAAAGCAGGAGAAGCATCACCCATACCCCTGACCCTCAACAGGTACCGGAGTCCCAGCTTGACTATTTGAAACTCCAAGGGCATCTCACCCACATCGACCAGAAGGGCAGTAACTGGGGTCGATCTAAATGCCCCACTACAAACCCTCACAGCCTCCGCCTGCAAGACATCCAACCTCCTCAGGGTAGTAGGGGCAGCCGAGCCATACAGGAACCACCCATAATCCAGGGCTGACCTGAACACACTCCGGTATACCATCAGCAAGATGCACGGACTCCCATCATTTAACACCACAAGGCCCTTTTCGTCCAAAAAGTCCTCCAGGACCTTCCCATTCCCATCCAACCCCCAGGTCCCCCACAACCCACTATGAGCATTAAAATCCCCGACCCACAAAACCGACAAGGAAGCACCCTGAAACAGCCCTCGGAGAGCTTCACCCAACATCCCCAAACCCGGGTTATAAAAGTTCACCACTAAAATCAGCCCCCTATCGGACCACACCTCAACCACCATGCACTCAAGACCTGAGTCAACACACCACCGACGATACTGCAGCCCCTCTGCAAGAAATGTGGCACAACCCCCACCGGACCTACCCACCCTGTCCGCTCTCACACACTGATACACACAATTTAAGATCCAAGCAAGGCTTCAGCCACGTCTCCTACACGCAGATGACGTCCGGTCGGACATCCAGGTCCCCTACGGCCTTCTTAAACTCCCGACCATTGGCTACCAGACTCCTGGCATTCCATTGCAGGACCCGAAAAGCCATAATTAAGAACCACCCCCACCACACTCCTGCCCTCACCTGACTCCTCCAGCCATGAAATCCATCCCCAAACCACCACCAACACCTAGAGCACCAACCCCATACGCACAAGCAGCACCCCACACTTCCCCAGGATCTAAACCAGAAAAGCCCAGGAGCCGCTCAGTCACAGCAGTTACCTCCGGCGCCGCGTCCGATTTACTAGCTGCCACCATCTTCACCCTCCACATCGCCTCCACCACAAAAGCCAAAAACAGCTTCCAATCCACCACTGCAACCCCACTGCTCCCCCGAGCCACCCCGCCCCCTCCATCCGGTGCCTCGCCACTCAGACCTGCCACAGGCGACCCCACCACATCCTCACCTGATCCCCGATGAACAGCCTCGGCAAAAGAAACCTTGTAGCGTGACCTATAGTCCTTCACAGCCACTGCCTTCCTGTACAAAGCACAACCCCTAAAAGTGGCCTGATGCGCACCACCACAATTGGAGCACCGAAAAGCCGCCACACACTGGAGGCCATCATGTTCACCACCACATCTTTTACACCTCAGACCCTCCTTACAGACACCAGCCACATGCCCAAATCTTTGGCACCGAAAGCAACGTAGCGGGGCCTTCACAAAAGCCCAGACAGAGTAACTCAGAAAACCCAACATAACGAGGTCAGGCAACGCCAACCCTCCAAACGTTATCAGCAAGGGAGTCGACCCACTAGCATTAAAGCCCAGCCTCCGCACGGCCACAACCGAGCCCCCTTTGAGATTGTGCAACAACTCAGACTCGGAGACATCATTAGGAACGTTGTAAACCACCCCCTTAACACCAACCTCAACACTCTGCACAGAAACGTCAACTCCCACGCCCAAAAAACGCTCAAGCTGAAGTGCCTTATCCTGCTGCTCCACCGAACGACACACAATGGACAACACACCACCTGGCAGGACCGTGGTGTCCACCACATCACCAACCTTCTGCTGCAGCTCTTTAGACACCTGAAGCGGACTGGAGGAAGAGAAACTGCCCCCGCCAGATGCTCACAAGCATACAACCTAGCCCGACTCACCACCGCCACCAGTCCGCAGCTGCTTAGCAGAGCCATCCGCCACAACATCCTCCGGAAACAAGTCACCACGGTCCCGCTTGCCGGTACCCTAGCTCTCCACCTGCATAGCGACTCCAGCGCCACGGCCCATCCTCCGTCCCATGCCCACAGAGATTGAATGGGAGCAGCGTCGGAACACCGTGGTACCGGACCCGTACAGGCCGTCGGCCGATCCCCAGTCACCCTTCCTGGCCAACCCAAGCCGTCAAAAGCTTCCAGCGGCTGATGTGCTACCGGCGATAAAACAGCCGTGTCGTCAACCGATCACATTGCTTTTGAGCAATGAACAAATAGCTCCCTGATATGTCTCATTGTCTCCTCCACTTTTTCATGTTAAGATCTCATTGACCTCGCCCTCCATTCCGGCATAGGGAGCAAAATGTCCAGCAACAACATTTTTTCTGTTGAGTTGTGTTTCTGTGGAGCATACAAGTTACCTTACACTGTTTACTGATCACCTCATGTTATTTTGTCACAAGTAAAAATCGCACATTGATGAGGACTTGGGTAAAATGCAGATCAAGGGTGCAAAAGGGGCCTGATCAACTTCTGCAATTGAGAATCGGAACACCCTAAGCACTCGCACCATTGGCTGCACGCAAGTGTGGAAGTGCGAGTATTGGGATTGGGCCTTTGTGGTTTCTTTGCTCCAACACACTTGATTCAGTGGTTGAATCACCTGTGCAGCAGCTCATCAGGCTCTGCAGAAGCCTAATAATTACCTGTTGATTGAAATCAGGTGTCTTGAAAATAATTAAAACTAAAGCTAAAACGTGCTGGATACCAGTCCTCAGGCCGGGAATTGAGTACCCCTGGCCTAGGGCTTTGAGAATTGGGACACCATATGCACTTGTACCATTGGACAGGAATGCACAATTAGGAGGCACAAGGATGGAATTGTGAGTTTTGGAACTGGTCCATAGATTATATCCTGTTTTCCGGTTCCAGAGCTAATCTGAAAGATGGACGGCACCCACGGATGGTTACTGGAGGAACAAAACTTGACTTGATAGGATTCAGCTGAAGAGGTTCTAATGGAAAGCCCCTGGAACCTTACAAAGCTGAAGTTGGTTCCCATTTCTGATTCCCGTTTAGGAAAGGGCAATTTTAAACTAAATTTCTGCTCTGCAATCATCTTTAATCTGCTCCTATTATAAAACTGAAACACCCAGACTCTTCAAATCTGGACAAGATTATTCTAGACTAATAATAGTTTCCTTAAAACCTAATTTATGATTTGTGAATCCTTTATTTCATTGGTGGAAGTTCATTAAAATGCATAACCACAGTAAAACAGGTGGTGAAAGGCTACAGCAAACAAGGACCACAGAAGGACCCATTACTGATGGAAAGGCTGTCAAACCTCACAGAATCGATTTTAATCCCACTGTTGGAAAAGGGGCACTAGATTGCTGACTGTCCAGAGGAGTGGAGTCCAAGATCTTACTTGGATAGTCTAGGTTCTTTAGTTAGAACTAGAGCAGTGTGTACCCATGTGCTCATGTCTGTTCACAGCATCGACATATACATATAGGTTCACAGTCATTTACATTTAGAAACACCCTGAATTAACCGTATTTGGTCACACCACGTCCTCAGATCATGAGGGGATTCCCTGTGTTCCCCTAAAAACAATATCACGATATATTGAGGAGTTCACCCTGACAATGATAAATGGACAATAACTACAGGTATGAGCAGAAACAAAAGTAGTCCACTAGAGGGGGCTGTCATATGTATTGCGTTGAGTCACATTTTTACATGACTCAAGGTGATACAGCTTCTTAAAGGGACATGAACGTTGCCAACCTACACACATGGTTTCTTTTCTTTTTATTATCAAATTTATTGACTTGGAAAAATGATCACGATAAGAGTTAGAAATTTCAATAACGATCAATTTTCAATTCATTGGCCAGCCCTACCTCTCAGTTTGACGTGACTGGAAAACCTCACCAAGAGCCATCCTAATCAGATGCTCGAGCCACCTCAACTGGCTCCTCTTGATATGGAGGAGCAGCGGATCTTCTCCAAGCCCCTCTCGGATGACCAAGGGAGTGCCCAGCCACCCTGCAGAGAAAACTCATTTTGACTACTTGTAATCGCGATCTCATTCTTTTGGTCACTTCCCAAAGCTCATGACCACAGGTGGGGGTAGGAACGTAGATCGAACGGTAAGTCGATTTTCTTATGTAGGAACATTTTGACACACAAGTACAAAATGAAAACCATGCAATGCATATGTGGCAAGGTGGAGAAACGAGGGCCCGGGCGAGATTCAATCCCCAGACTGCCAGGTGAGAGTCATGTGCGCTAACCAGTCAGCCAAAGGGACATCCCCTTGGCCAAGTAGCCAGGGCGCATGATCAATTGGGATACAGTGATACTCACCCTGTCACACGTAAATTAGTTCCTACGCACGACATACGCACAGATCTGTGCATATGTATGGTTGATAAATTAGGCCCCAGGTTCTATAGTCTTAGAGCTAGATCAGTATCAAAGCAGTCCAGATTCTAAAAAGTGCTAAAGTTGCATTTTAATGAACTTTCACAAATCAAATAAAGGTTTCACAAACCACAAACTAGGTTTTATGGAATCTGCTATTAGTCTAGAATAATCTCTGTGTTTCCGTTTTATAATAGGAGTGGATTAAAGATGCTCAAGTCTTTGATACCCACAATCCTTCTGGCTCTCATTCAACTTTTGATGGTTTAAACCAGAAATGGGGAACCCTGGTCCTCAAGGGCCGGTATCCTGCACATCTTTGCTCCAACACTTCTGATTCAGTGGTTGATTCACCTGTTCTGCAGCTCATCAAGCTCCGCGGAAGCTTGTTAATCACCTGCTGATTGAAATCAGGTGTGATGATGCAGGGTTGAAACTAAAATATGCTGGATAGTGGCCCTCGATGGACCAGGGTTCCCCACCCCTGGTTTAAACCCAAAGCTGTGTGTAATAAGCCTCAGTGTAAAAATGGATGCCTACCTCTCAATGACTCCTCAGATCAACTCAGTGGTGAGGTCTTGTTTTTATCAGTTACGCTGCCTTTCTCGTTTAAGACCGATCTTAAAGAGGAAGCACTTGGAATCAGTCATCCATGCTTTCATCACCTCTCGCTTGGCCTGCCCTACGCTAATGCATTATTAGTTGGAACTCCTGTCTCTGCCCTGAACTGCTTGCAGGTTGTCCAAAACGCCGCTGCTAGGTTTTTAACAAACACAAGTCGACATAGCCATATCACACCAGTCCTGAAATGTCTTCAATGGCTCCCCATCACATTTCGTGTGCGTTTTAAAATATTGATGTTTGTTTTTAAAGCCCTACACGACCTAGCTCCTCCTTATCTGTCCGACCTACTGACTCCCTATGTACCTACTGTTATGTTGAGGTCAGCTGACCGCCTACTGCTTTGCATTCCCCGGATGGCCTACAAATCACGAGGTGAACGTGCGTTTGTCCATGCTGCCCCCATGCTCTGGTACTTGTTGCCCATTACAGTTAGGCTGGTATCCTCTCTGCCTGTTTTTAAATCTAGTTTAAATACCTACCTTTATGACTTGGTTATCATATTATAATTTTATAGTTTTTATTGTTGTGTTTTATCTTATTGTTTTTACTTTTGTTTTAATTGGTCCTGCCTGTTCAGCACTTTGGTCAGCTCTCACGCTGTGTCTTAAATTGTGCTATAGAAATAAAGTTGGTATGGTATGGTAAGAAGCTGAAAATCTAGATGGAATTGCCCTTTCCTAAACGGGAACCATAAATGGAGGTTCGTTGTAATGATTTGGGTTTGTGATGCATTCAAATACGGTTGGAATTCTAACATTCACTGCAGAATGGCAGTCCCATAACCCACACTGCAACATACGGTCCTCTATTTTATTTCAGTCATTTTCCTCACTTGTATCTTACTTTATACACGTAAATATTAATCTTTCTTTTGTTTGTTTCATTTTGTGAGTTTCGTATTTCAGTGGTGTTCACGAACGCAGCGTAACTGAAACCAACAAGGTTTCGGTTCGGTGACGGTCCTGAAAGCTGAAAACACCAACGGGTAAGACGACCTAATGTCGATATTTATGTTGTTTTTAAACGTAATACACGGCTTTTGAAAAGTTTTCTGCTTTTCAAAGTTTCACGTTGTTGTAGAAACAGAAATCTGCTTCACAGATTTCTTATATGTCTGTTTTATAATATCTTCAACCACTCTCTTTATTCTGCTCTCCCCACCTATTCCACCTTCCTCATGATCCACTGGTTTCCCTCTTTCCTATTCACTCTCTCTTTCTTAACATTTTTCTTTTAAATCGCAATAGCTTATTCTGGCTCATTTTAAATATATTTTTAAACATTTTCTACGTGCTTATTTATATTTTTACAATTTTTTTTATATTTCATGTTTTTGTGAAGCGCCTCGTGATTTTTATCTTGAGAGGCGCTATAGAAATGATATTTTCTTCATCTTCTATTTTATTTCTCAGAATGCATCAGAACGCTTTGGGCTTGGGGGGCAAAGGGCAAAGGTCAAGAAAAGGACCAGATAATATAAGTGGTCGATTACTAAAGTCTAGCTATTTGTTTTATTTTTAATCATTCCCTAGAAGTCTAGCTTGTTCTCAAAACCCGGAAGTGTTGTTAGATTTAGTTCCTGATGGCATTCTTCCTCCAACGTGAGATGATATCAGTCCAGCAGCTTTAACCAGTTTGAAGCCATACTATACAACGTTTTTATATTTTTAAATACTTTTTTGAACCAGTATGTGCTAAAACGAGCCTTTACAGGGTTAATTATATGTGTCACTCGGACCCCACCATTCTCTGTGGCCCTCACTTGCAACTTCAGAGAATTAAAGTGAAGCTGATGTGCTGGCGCTGCAGTCTGCTTCCAGCACGTTTCCTGCATGTTTCAGATCGTGAACACAGCTGATTTGATTGATTTAGTGAAAACCCACTTCTGTAGAAATGAAAGAAGTCTGTGGAGACATTTCATCAGTTAGATTAAGGTGTTAAAAAGACGAACACACAGCAAGGAGATTGTTTTCACTGTCGGTTTAACATTGAATTAATAACATACTCTGTGGGATGCTAAAAGCAAGTCAAAACTGTGTCGTTTCCCCTTGAAAACCACTGGAATGGTGAAAAAGGTCTTGGTGGGGCTGATATGCCAGTACTGGTCTGGTTAAGTGCTCTTCAGCATGAGTGTTGAAGGTCCAACATGTCTGTATATTCAGCTTTTAGGTTTTCTGGGAGGAGACCATTTTCATGGCAGACATGTTGTATAGTTGGAGCAAGCCAGGATCTCCAACTCCAACTCTTGCCAGCATACATACATTAATTACAAACTTTATACAGACATAAGAGTTACTCTAACCCAGCCTTTCCACTGGAGGTATAAGATACATGTAACATGATGGATGTGTTTTACCTGCAAGCCAAGCTCTGTCCCACTGGGACACAAAAAGGCAGCTAAAGTGTTTCATGCAACTCATTACGAAATCACTGGAACCACGTGTGATTTGGCAATTTGCCCAACAACAAGCAAGTAGAAACACAAATATCCAAAAAAAAGTCAGGTTTATTTTCTGTTGTTTACCTCGGCCATGGACGTTTCACAGGAAACAACATACGTTTTTTTACTAGTTAAGTAACAGGAAATCTGCACATTACATTAAAAAGTTTTACTGCTTTTGTGTTTGACTTCCTGTCTTGCTCAATCTGAACTGCTGAGCCTAATGCATTCTGGAAGCATAGCACATAAGAAATCAATCAATCAATCAATCAAAGCTTTATTTATATAGCGCCTTCCGCAACCCTGTCGGGTAGCCCAAGGCGCTGAAATAGACTTGATGTGTAAGCAATGTGCGCAAAACAAAAGATCCTGGTGATAATTGAAATTTCATGATTTACTGTCCTCATTCTCTGCCAGCATTACTGATGCAAAGAAAGCTTTCTACACTGACAAAATTCTCAGCTCTACTAACTCTCAGAAACTATTTTCGACATTCAAAACTCTGCCCAACCCTCCATCTCCACCTCCTACCAATAATCTATCAGCTGACACCTTTGCCTTATTCTTCACTGACAAAGTGGCAGCCAGGGTCCGAAATTAAATTTTTTACTCACCGGCCAAGTTGGCTGGTAGATGATGAAAATCTACTGGCCAAGCATATTTTTTACAGGCCAAAATTCTAAATGATTTAGATCTACCTAAAGCATGTTATTCTATATTATGTTGATTCCAAACAGAGTGACAAAATAATTAAAACATCAATTAATAAGAAAAACAACTCTTTTGTCATTTTTACTATTTATTTATTTATTTTTAGTGATTTTTTATGAACTCTTTCATTGAAATCTAGTCAGACTCCTTGTTTTCTCTGTCCATGAAGTCTGGCCTCCTGCTTCTGACACCGTCTTTGTGCCAAAGCATTACAGCCTCATTTGGGTCCTAGTCCTTGATCTCTGGAGAACACAGCTGCACCATAAGAATATCTGAAAGTGTGTCAGGGCTAGGGTTGTCACGGTAACCGGTGTAGCAGTAAACCCCGGTAAAAAAGTTGACAATAATAATAACCGTCTTGTTTTAAAAAAAAAATTATCTCGGTGGATTACCGTGGCTGCGATGTAGGCGCGGTGACCCTTACCAGCCACCGTATCATATGCTAAAGTTGCCGGGATAGGCGGAAATGATGTTGGATGCGGCGCTCACGTTTCGCGTACGTTTGTGTTTGTTGCCTGCAGGCGGGAGGAGTATCAGAAATCCATGGAAGATGACTGATAAACATAACTAATTTGGTGAAAACATTTACTTGCTATGTGGCAGATAGAGCTAAAAAATTTACTCGCCAAATGGAGCTATTTGCTCGCATGTGGCGAGTGTTAATTTCGGACCCTGGTGGCAGCTATAAGCAAACAGTTTACTCAACTGGCCACTCCTGAACATTCGCTACCACAAACTCCTTCTAGCCCAACCATCTCAGGCCCTACTGCTTCATTTTCCTCTTTTTCCACTCTCACTGAGAACTGTGTGTCCAAGCTTCTCACGTGCAGCCGCCCTACTACATGCCCACTCAACCCCATTCCGACTAAGCTGCTCCAAGCTATTGCTCCTACAGTAGCCACAGCAGTCACACATGTGATCAACGCTTCCCTGACATTCCCACCTCTCAAGCATGCTCAGGTTAAACCGCTGTTAAAAAAACCCAACTCTTCCTCCAAATCATGTGGAGATTTACCGACCTATCTCTTTCCTCCCTTTTCTGTCAAAAATCATTGAAAAGGTGGCTTTCAGGCAGATCACAGAATACCTCTCACAAAACTGTCTGCTTGACCCTTACCAATCTGGGTTCAAAAAGGGCCACTCCACTGAAACTGCTCTGTTAGCAGTGACTGAATCCTTAAAAGAAGCTAGAGCAACAGGCAAATCCTCAGTGCTTATCCTGCTCGACTTCTCGGCTGCATTTGACACTGTCAACCATGGCTTCCTTTTGTCCACACTCTCTAGCATGGGCATCACAGAGAAAGCACATGCCTGGTTTGAATCGTACCTCACAGGACAATCATTCAGTGTATCTTGGCTTGGACAATCCTCTACCGTGCACCATCTTGCCACAGGAGTCCCCAGGGCTCTGTACTAGGACCTCTTTTTGCCATATACACCACCTCACTGGGTGAGATCATTCGATCACATGCAGATGACACCCAGCTCTATCTGTCATTTCCACCGGATGACCACACTGTCTCTGCAGTCTGCACGAATATCAAACCGTCTCTCTGACATATCAAAATGGATGAAATCCCACCATCTCCAACTCAACCTCTCTAAAACTGAACTACTTGTCGTCCCAGCAAAACCATCCATACAGCACAATATCTCAATCCAAAATGACTTCCTAGCTCTGGCTCCTTCAAAGACAGTTCAAAATCTGGGTGTTGTGATTGATGAACACCTGAGCTTTAAAGATCATGTTGCCTCTGTTGCTCGTTCATGCTGCTTTACGCTGTATAACATACGAAAGATCAGACCATACCTAACACAACATGCCACCCAGCTCCTGGTGCAATCTACTGTCATCTCCCGCCTCGATTACTGCAATGCCCTTCTAACTGGTCTTCCAGGCAGTACTGTGAGACCTCTTCAAATGGTCCAGAACGCAGTGGCACGTCTGGTCTTCAATCAGCCAAAAAGGGCACACGTCACCCCTCTGTTCATTGAGCTCCACTGGCTATCGCTAGCAGCACGCATCAAATTCAAATTGCTAACACTAGCATACAAAGTCTGAGATGGTACGGGTCCCATCTACTAGGGCTGTCGCGGTAACCGCAAGAAGCAAATATCGCGATATTAAGAAACCCACCGCGCTGCATGATGTGCCACCACCATTACTGCACTTGATTAAATCTCACGACAGCGCATGCTGAGAAGGATGGCTGCACTGGTATCAAAACGAAATGTTACTTCGCCCCTTTGGGAACATTTCGACTTTCAGCCAAATGAAAAGGGGGAGCCAGAGAATTTAAATGAGGCAGTCTGTAAAATCTGCGGCAAAACGGTTCAAGTAAAACGAGGAAACACAACTAATTTAAGGGCTCACCTTGCGACCTACCATCCAGCTAACAAGGCGCGGCTGCCATCGCCTCCTGCCACACAGAGCTGCGGGGCAGCTCATGCCGGTGCCAGCCGACAGCTTGGACTCGGCGAAGCCTTTTCTCGAGTCGGCAAGTACAGCAGAGACAGTGACAGACATAAACACCTGACAGGCGGTGTTACACGGTATCTGGTGGAGGAGATGGTGCCATTTTCTACTGTGGAGAAACCTGCATTCAAGTCGCTTCTTCAGAAAACTGTACAGACTGGACTGTTAAATCACGCTGCCTCGAAACAGTGTTTATGCCCCAGAATCACACATCTGACAACATTGCAGATGCTCTACTCAGCGTGTTTGATGAGTGGTCCCTGGATGAGAAGAAGCTGGCGTGCATAACAACTGATAACGGGGCAAACATCGCCGCAGCAGTGAGACAATTGAGCTGGACTTGGCTGAACTGCTTCGG